CCGCCTTCGTCAAATGCGAAACTTGCAACCGCCCGCAACCCCCTGATAATTTTAAGTAAGGGATCGGTTGGAAGATGACTCTTGAGGCTCGCTCAATCATTTTCGAGTTTACATATTACCAATAACCTTCCTTTGTCCAATCGTTACTATTGATTTCAAATTCGTGCATCTGTATTGGCCAGCAAGCGCGCTAGTAAATTTCACTTTATTGAGTTAGCCAACCTAGCTTTAAATTATTACTTAAGTGAATGTTACAGGGGCGGTCTTGAAATTATTTATGTCAAGGGTATTCTTAACAAGAAAGTTGTTATAAAATTTTTAACAATTTCTCAATGTTCGAGAGTTATTGAGATAGAACTTTTTAGCTACTTATAGAAAAAATCCAATGTAAAAAGAATATTAAAAGGTGCAATTAACAACAGAACAATAAGAAAAGGTAAATGAAGTTCCAGTCGAGTTTCTATAAATGATGTCTTAGTCTCAAGGTGGTTCATGTATACAGTGTCTCGGCTATTGAACACAAATACACAATACACAAATACACAAATACACAAATACACAAATACACAAATACACAAATACACAAATACACAAATACACAAATACACAAATACACAAATACACAAATACACAAATACACAAATACACAAATACACAAATACACAAATACACAAATACACAAATACACAAATACACAAATACACAAATACACAAATACACAAATACACAAATACACAAATACACAAATACACAAATACACAAATACACAAATACACAAATACACAAATACACAAATACACAAATACACAAATACACAAATACACAAATACACAAATACACAAATACACAAATACACAAATACACAAATACACAAATACACAAATACACAAATACACAAATACACAAATACACAAATACACAAATACACAAATACACAAATACACAAATACACAAATACACAAATACACAAATACACAAATACACAAATACACAAATACACAAATACACAAATACACAAATACACAAATACACAAATACACAAATACACAAATACACAAATACACAAATACACAAATACACAAATACACAAATACACAAATACACAAATACACAAATACACAAATACACAAATACACAAATACACAAATACACAAATACACAAATACACAAATACACAAATACACAAATACACAAATACACAAATACACAAATACACAAATACACAAATACACAAATACACAAATACACAAATACACAAATACACAAATACACAAATACACAAATACACAAATACACAAATACACAAATACACAAATACACAAATACACAAATACACAAATACACAAATACACAAATACACAAATACACAAATACACAAATACACAAATACACAAATACACAAATACACAAATACACAAATACACAAATACACAAATACACAAATACACAAATACACAAATACACAAATACACAAATACACAAATACACAAATACACAAATACACAAATACACAAATACACAAATACACAAATACACAAATACACAAATACACAAATACACAAATACACAAATACACAAATACACAAATACACAAATACACAAATACACAAATACACAAATACACAAATACACAAATACACAAATACACAAATACACAAATACACAAATACACAAATACACAAATACACAAATACACAAATACACAAATACACAAATACACAAATACACAAATACACAAATACACAAATACACAAATACACAAATACACAAATACACAAATACACAAATACACAAATACACAAATACACAAATACACAAATACACAAATACACAAATACACAAATACACAAATACACAAATACACAAATACACAAATACACAAATACACAAATACACAAATACACAAATACACAAATACACAAATACACAAATACACAAATACACAAATACACAAATACACAAATACACAAATACACAAATACACAAATACACAAATACACAAATACACAAATACACAAATACACAAATACACAAATACACAAATACACAAATACACAAATACACAAATACACAAATACACAAATACACAAATACACAAATACACAAATACACAAATACACAAATACACAAATACACAAATACACAAATACACAAATACACAAATACACAAATACACAAATACACAAATACACAAATACACAAATACACAAATACACAAATACACAAATACACAAATACACAAATACACAAATACACAAATACACAAATACACAAATACACAAATACACAAATACACAAATACACAAATACACAAATACACAAATACACAAATACACAAATACACAAATACACAAATACACAAATACACAAATACACAAATACACAAATACACAAATACACAAATACACAAATACACAAATACACAAATACACAAATACACAAATACACAAATACACAAATACACAAATACACAAATACACAAATACACAAATACACAAATACACAAATACACAAATACACAAATACACAAATACACAAATACACAAATACACAAATACACAAATACACAAATACACAAATACACAAATACACAAATACACAAATACACAAATACACAAATACACAAATACACAAATACACAAATACACAAATACACAAATACACAAATACACAAATACACAAATACACAAATACACAAATACACAAATACACAAATACACAAATACACAAATACACAAATACACAAATACACAAATACACAAATACACAAATACACAAATACACAAATACACAAATACACAAATACACAAATACACAAATACACAAATACACAAATACACAAATACACAAATACACAAATACACAAATACACAAATACACAAATACACAAATACACAAATACACAAATACACAAATACACAAATACACAAATACACAAATACACAAATACACAAATACACAAATACACAAATACACAAATACACAAATACACAAATACACAAATACACAAATACACAAATACACAAATACACAAATACACAAATACACAAATACACAAATACACAAATACACAAATACACAAATACACAAATACACAAATACACAAATACACAAATACACAAATACACAAATACACAAATACACAAATACACAAATACACAAATACACAAATACACAAATACACAAATACACAAATACACAAATACACAAATACACAAATACACAAATACACAAATACACAAATACACAAATACACAAATACACAAATACACAAATACACAAATACACAAATACACAAATACACAAATACACAAATACACAAATACACAAATACACAAATACACAAATACACAAATACACAAATACACAAATACACAAATACACAAATACACAAATACACAAATACACAAATACACAAATACACAAATACACAAATACACAAATACACAAATACACAAATACACAAATACACAAATACACAAATACACAAATACACAAATACACAAATACACAAATACACAAATACACAAATACACAAATACACAAATACACAAATACACAAATACACAAATACACAAATACACAAATACACAAATACACAAATACACAAATACACAAATACACAAATACACAAATACACAAATACACAAATACACAAATACACAAATACACAAATACACAAATACACAAATACACAAATACACAAATACACAAATACACAAATACACAAATACACAAATACACAAATACACAAATACACAAATACACAAATACACAAATACACAAATACACAAATACACAAATACACAAATACACAAATACACAAATACACAAATACACAAATACACAAATACACAAATACACAAATACACAAATACACAAATACACAAATACACAAATACACAAATACACAAATACACAAATACACAAATACACAAATACACAAATACACAAATACACAAATACACAAATACACAAATACACAAATACACAAATACACAAATACACAATTCACAATTACACAATATTGCTGTGTTAATTCAAATGACCGTATCTGTTTAATACATGAACGTGAGAAAAATCACTTACGCCCAAATTTCTAAGCGTTAAATCTCGGATTTTATAGAATATACGTATATCCATGAAAACTATAGAGATGAACAAAAAATTCATTGTTGTCAGGCGTAGTGGTCATATCTTTATATCAAGCAAAATTACAGTTACGATCATTTGAATTAACACGGCAGAATACGTTTTGCCAATGTTAAAGTGAAAACTACAGAGAGTTGGCATTATTTAGAGCAGGAAACGAATAACAGCGATATGTATCCCACGAAACTATTTACCGATTAAAATTATTTATTGTGATATACTATATTTTACTAACTTCTTCAAAACTGTATTTTCAAAAAGTAGAATATTAGAAAATTAGATACCTCTGTTTTGACCATTTTAAATACAGTGAAATTGCGATGTTGTCCAAATCAGTTTTATCGGACGCATTTGTCGGGAAGCGCATTTGCCGGGAAGCGCATTTGTCGGGAGGCGCATTTGTCGAGAAGCGCATTTGTCGGGAAGCGCATTTGTCGAGAAGCGCATTTGTCGGGGCGGTTTTGTCGGGGCGGTTTTGTCGGGGCGATTTTGTCGGGGCGATTTGACAGGTCACCTTAAATTTTGTGTAATATGTCTATTTTTTAAATTTTTAATAATTATTTCATGTACATTAATTTTTCAAAATACACTCTGACATACTCGTAAAAACTAAATTTAAAATACACTAAAATTGATCAAATTCTATGGTATTGTACAGATTGATTCAAAAATAATCATTACAAACATTTAAGTTCAAAATTGTTTATTGTATTGTTTATTTTATATCATATCAAAGGTTAGAAGGAAAGTGTAACATCAAGAATGAAAGAATAAAAGAAGAAAAATGTAAAAGGTGTACTGGTTGATTGGCAGTACAATAATTAGATCAGGTGCAATAATAACACTAATTAAATAATAATAATAATAATAACTATAAAATCATGAAACTTTATATATACCTTACCTTTCAATGCAGCAGTGGAAATTAAAGTTGAACGCACAAAACTTAAAAACAAGAATCGAACATCGCACTGACAAGTAATTCAAACTGATTTTAAATTCACGAGGGCAAAAACTAAACTAAATTACATTCTTCAACATTGTGAATACAGTATTACCTAAAAAAATACCCCACTCAAAAGTTTATTACTTAAAAAGGAACGAAGAAATCGCGTTTTCGAACATCCTTTTTGTATCAGCATCAGCAGATGCTCGTTATGCCTGTAGATATATCTGTTTTCATTGTATTTGATTATTCTTTCTTAAAGGCTCCCGGTTATTATTACCATTGTTAGAATTCGGTATAGTTTTTGTTTGGGTATATAAATACAAGCTACCTATGAATACGGAGGGGTTTTAGCTCAGTTGGGGTGTTTTATTTTTAATTTAATACTGAACATGAAGTTTTTGTTTCAAATAGTATATAATTTGTACTAAAGTCATACTCTTCCTATGATGAAATCGGGGAGAGAAATATTGAGAGGACATTTTCACTCTGTAATAAAAAATATTTTAAATTATATGTATGTACTAATGTATTACTAAAACATGTAATAAATGTGTGTATGCAATAGAAATTTAATCTAGCCTGTTAGTTTGAAAATAAAAATTTCGAAAAATTGGGCAAATTTCAACTATAGTCATAGCATTAAGTTGGGCTCATTGCTAGGTTGAGTATACCAACATACCAAACTTTCAGAAAATTTGACCGATCGCACTTTACATAAGAAAAGTGCGGGATTCTTTCTTTATTTCCTTTGTTACGGTATACATCTTGAGATCTCCATGTAAGTCTTGTTCCCCTTGTATCATGGAGCCGTCTACTATATTTCTAGGAACCTTATTTTGGATTTTTTTTATGTTTTCTACATTGGTCTTCTTTGAACAGCCCCGTGCTCTATAGATGGATCCTATAAGTCCATATAGGCTTGAAGACTTGTGTGTACATCAGTACCTTATTATTTATATGTATGGCTAATTGGGATTTTCTTCCTATTAGTGGATATATTTTTTCATTATTAGCTCCTCCTTTTTCTTTTTTCTACCCTCAGCTTGGCATTTATGTTCATTCCTAGGTATTTTGGAATTTTTGATTGGGAATAATTTTGTTATTGAGTGTTAGGGTCCGATTACAATAAGAACACAGCTACGTCATCAATTGACGGAGTAATTCGTTGGCTATCGCCGCCTACTAGGGGTTTAATGGCTTGTTAGTATTATAAAAATGTTGGAATAATATTTTTAAATCAAACAATTCACATATTCTTTATTGATAGTTATAGATGATATACAATATCTTAGACTAGGTATGAATAACGTCGCAGGAAAGCGTGTTCCATTTTGACACCAATGCTATTTTACCAGAGGCGTAACATGTTGGAAATAAAACAATGAAATTTTAACATAAATGTTATTAGTACTTTATTGATCTTTTTAATTATAAAGCAATTTAAAAGCGTAAAAATTAAAATAAATAAGACCCAAGAAAAATACATATAAGATGCGTTACGCTCAACGGGGCTTAGCCTGGTGGATAAACTACAAACGATATTAAAAATTCCTTCGACACAAATATACAACACAACCGCAGTTTAATAAAGATTTGCTATTACCATCTCTGATAATTACCGATTTATTTTACATTTTTTAAAAAAGCAGTGCTGTCGAAATTAATGAATTACTCTTGATTACAAAATAATAAATTAACGAATTTTTGGCAATTCCTCACAAAATTTAACTTTGATCAGAATCATTATTCACAAAATTTACGGGGTGTTTGCAACTTGAAGTTTTATTTAATTACTGGTAATTTTATGATACCAATATGAAGGAAATTTTATTTACGTTAAAAGTTCTATAAGGTTCCCTATACCCATATCTATTATTTTTAAAACTTTTATCAATAGTTTCAATGAATCAATCAAATATCTTCTAATGGTTTTGTTTTAACAAAGCTATTAAATAAACATATTTATTCAAAAATTTGTCAGTAAATTTAAAATTTACAATAAATGTTCAAAATGATGTCCATTATTGTCAATGCATATTCTGATTCGCTTTTCAAAATTATTTTTTTCATTACATAAAATCTCTAATTAACCGACTTCAAAAAAGGAAGAGGTTCTCAATTCGTCGCAATATTTTTTTTTTATTTTTTTTTTATTTTTTTTTTTATTTTTTTTTTATTTATGTTCAGCGATAATTCTTTAATTCGGTGTCCGATTTCAATGATTCTTTTTTTGTTATAAAGGGGGTACTTCAGGGGTGGCTCCATATAAATTTGGTCAAAATCTAATAATTGGGTCCATGAGAAAATCTTCAAACTCTTCATTTTTTATGTATGTTTAGTGATAATGCTTTACCACCTTGTCCGATTTATATGATTCATTTTTTGTTAGTAAGGGGGTACCTCAGAGGTGTTCCCATATAAATTTGGTTAGGATGTGGTGATGACATCTGCACGTTTTTGAAGTCGTTTTTTTTTAATTTTTAATTTCTAATACTTGTTTAATAATAACAAACTCATCACGAATGCGTGTTTTCATATCTTCAGCGGTGGTCGACTGCGTTTGATAAACTATTTTTTAACATAGGAAAATGTTTTGTATATTTTACATATGCCTTCATACCACACCTTGTCAAGGAGAATTGCCAAGCACATCTTCATAAACCCTTTATATAAAATCTGTGATTTTGGACCTGTACACCTGGTCAATTGTTATTTTTCTCTGAATCTGAACTGGTATTCAGAAATTACAACTTTTCTTTTGCTAAGATCGGTTTTCAGCAGTATTATTTCGAATAATTTTGAGAGAATGGGTCTATAGGTCTATAGGTCTATATGAAGGTACTTCATTTTCTGATTTTCTTAGTTTATGTATCATAGTTATCTCGGCCATTTTCCATATGTCATGTTGCATTTATTGTTTCAGTTTTACTATTCCTTTCCTTGAACGTTTTTGAGTAATGTAATGTTATCAGGTCAAAACCCAGAGCTTTTTTGAGTTATATTATCATTTACCTTTAACTATTTCTTGTAAATCATTTAGTTGGAATATTTCTTCCAAGTGATAAGCAAGAGAACTTATCTTTTGTGCGTTTTTTTTTCGCCAGTAATATATTTAACGAATACTTACTTGGGGCAAATAGGTATACAATCTCAAATTTTTTAAATATCAATATATTTAAATGTAAAGTAAAGACTAGGATATTACATTTTATTAAGACTAAAGTAATATATTTTATAAATGTATTTATAACTGAGGACAAATGTAATATACGTATTGTATTAAAAAGTGAGTTCTTTTAACTATTCATTCACTGTTAAATATTTTCCTTCTAAATACAGATGGTATACTGTCTGATGATTTCGGAATCGAGTCCAGTGATAAATTGATTATCAATTGGTTGTACCCATTTGTCTTTTTATGATGCATGGTGAAACAATGAAGTTTTCAACGTAGCAACAAAATAATTGCAGAACACAGTAGAAAATGAAGAAGAAAACATTGAAAACATCACAATTTTGCAAATAACAAAGAAAAAACTTAAACAGAAACCAAAAGCCAAAGTTAACAACAAAATCACTAAAATCAGACGGAAATATCAGAAGTACTAAAAACATGAATACACGTCATCGTCACAATATATTTGAACTTCACGTTCATCCATAACAATGGAGAAATGAAAAACAATTTCACCAGTAGCCCCATCTATAGTGTTTGGAGTAAATAGTATTATAAATGTCAGTTGTCGCTTTTGAGCAGGGGCTAGTAATTCAAATGGAAAAAAAAGGTAATTTACCACTCCAATTAACGTGATGGCGCTCGTATGTCAGTTGTCAGTTCGTACAAAACTTCAAAAATTAAAATGGCTGTTGCAGTTGAAGGTGCATGGGATTTTAATTCATATAAATATATTTTTGAATTCATCAATCAATGAACATTACACCAAAATCTTTAAGGGTTTAAACGCGTGTGAGTTTAATTTAAGCTCAAAAGCTAAATTCATTTATCACAGTTCCCAGAGGATGAATAAGAATTTGATAAACTATAAGTGCTGTACAAATAAATCAATAAAAAATTATCGGATGTAGAAATGTTTCTCAACCTAACTAGTAGACTCAATAAGCATAATGGCAAATTTTATATACACTCAAATTCGCTTTGATAGTAAGACACCAAAAGGATAACGCTTTAATTACACATTTTTCAAACTTATCTGCCACTTCAAGTCGCAAAACTCTTATATAGGTCTTGAGCCCTTATACATGACGATTTTTTACAAAAAACATTTTTGACATGTTTAAATAGACAAATATGATGCGGCGTTAATTTACTCTAATAACAAAAAATTAAATAAATTGCATTTAGTTTCAAGTTTGAAATTAATGCAAAAATATAATGAAGTAAAATCGAATAAAAATATAAATTGGTAAAATATTTGACTAGTTTCAAATCATAAAAGTCAATATGGTTGTTTTGTGTTTTGAAACTAGTCAAAATAAACCAATTTATTTTTTTTGTTTGATTTTCTTCATTACATTTTTACCCAGCTAGCAGAAAGTTAAATTTGAAAAAGCCCGCTCCTGGTGACCATATTGAATTTAGTACCACTCCAATTTCATAGATGGCAGCACATCGTCTCGGAATTTTATCATTAAGTTTCCTATCTATTCACATTCCCCTAATCTATGGTTTTATCCTTGGTCATTCACGTGTCACTTCTATGTGCTTTGTGAATTAGATTATTCAAAATATTTTTAAAAATATTTTTAACTGCTTTTGTTCTTGTTTGTTGCCATTTTCTTATTGCTCCTCTTTTTTCTGTGACTAATACTTGATTTCTCTAGGATAACAAATTGTTTTCCATTATCCTTTTCTTATTTTTAAGTGTGTTCCAGGGTACTTGTTGAATATTTTGAGCAATTTTTTCCATATCTTCATCCTATATAAATAATTTTTCGTTAATTAGATATCTCTTCTCACATAGTATTTCTCAAGGATATACGGTACATCTAATTCTAAAGCGAAATGTTTAAGATAAAAAGCTTTCAGCTATTATACGATTGTATTTCAAGCATTCCAAATGCCTTAAGCGCTAAACGTCCCAAACAGATCCACAAAGCTCTAAAATAGACAAGAATAGGAATTAAACGTATCAATTACTTCTCGAAATGCAATACTTTTCAAATGCGGTATTCCAAACTCAACAAAAGGCGCCTTCCATCCTCGTCTAACGACATCTAAAAATATATTTCTGTCTCTATTCAAATATTCGAAATGCTGAAATCGCTTCTTTTGTCCAAACAATGGCAGAACTGATATAAGTAGGTCCTATCAGATTGTAGATAAGTTGTTTTAGTTCGGTAAATGGCACAATAGTGGAAGTACAAAAGGTTTTTTTTTTGTATGTTGGAGAGATTGGCCCAGGGGAAATTGTGCATTCGGCAAAATACAATATATCGGTTAGTGTTTGTTTTGTTTGTAACATCTTTGGCTTGCTATATACTATACAGGGTGCGACCTGTGTTGTTTTATATCGACAAAATAGTAATTACTTGAAAACGAATAATCTGAATAAAACCATTTAAATGCGGGATAACAACATCTCATATTTAAAGATCATCAACATTTTTTATTAAAGTCAATGAGGTCGAATATAATGGAGATGACATGCCATTTAACTTTGAAAAGGAACACCACTTCTTTCACTCATTTCACAGTTCATAGTTGTCATAGAGCTGTCTAAACTTTTTCAAATTTGAATATCTCGTACTTCCGGAGAAACACTGACATGAGTGAAAATGTGTTAATTGTTAAGAAAATGCATTTAAAGTTTTTATAAATCTTTTAAACAAAAAATGGGATACCTATTGGCAATATAATTTAGAATATTGTTACCCTGCACCCTGCAGTAGCCTGCGGCTATTATAGGAAACGTACGAATACAAAAAGAAGTGCAATGTTGCCCATCACCCTATAGTATGTTATGGTCGTCATAAGTAAAAATACAAGTAAAAGAAGAAGAAAGAATAGTCCAGAAATGTCTGGAAATGTCATTTCTTGTCAAGAAAAATCCGGATAATTCCAGAAGGATCTAGAAGATTAAGGTGAGTTAAATAAGTCAATGATTTTGACGTCAGAGTTTCAGTTTTATGATAGACGTTATATGTTCATGTTATCACTCAGACAACACACATAATCCAATGGACGTCCACTTTAGATCTTTTTGAGGGCCAGAACGTCTATATCCGTATTCGGACATCCAGTGTACGTCCATTTATGATCATTAATTTGACCCATATATATTTCATGTGTTCTTAAAACTATAGAGAGGATGATTAAGTTTAGGTTCGAATGGTGGTTAATGCAACAAAAGCTTCTTCCAGTATGGTTTCAAACGGGGTTTTGGTACAATGGATGCCTTAAGAACTTTGGTGGTAGGTATTCAAAACAATTTCTCTAGAAACAATTATTTACCTGTCCTTTTCCTTGAGTATCTACGAACTTTTGAGAGTTTTCGTCTCCATGGGCGTATCAAATAGTTTTTTATTAGAATCCAAAGTAACTTTTGGTGAGTAATATTACAATAGACAGTTTTGCAGAATAAACATTATATATTTTTAAAAACTTTGAGCTTATTCTTAAATAAAATACCTGTTTTACAATTTTTTATGAAGTCCGGAAGTTTATTGTATAAAATGGGTCCTAGGATAGTTAAATGTAATCTACTAACTGGCATATTACTAGTTCCAAAATTATGAAATCTATATTTTACTTAAATTTATTTAAGTTCTTAAAAACATATAAACAAATTTCTAGAACATATAATGAAGCTATTGGAAAAATACCATATTCTACAAATATTGGTCGATAAAAATAATATTTAGGAAATTTACCTATTACTAAGGATCTTTAAAGAATAAAAACGTCACTCGAATCAGTTGAGTTTTCACAAAAAACAACATGCTACTTGAGCATAATAAATACAGATTAAAATTTTATGATCTAAAATTTCTCTTACATTTCTAAACAAGAAAGACAATAATATTAGTAATTCCAGAAATTTGACGCTAGTATCTAGCCAGTTCATTCCTAAATTGTATGCACAACGTCTGAGAAATCACATAAATTTCGTCTGCTTACCAGTAAAACATAGTAAGTCAGATTTGATGAAAAATCCTTTAAGTCACTTAATGCTATTATGGACTTAATAAATATAAAAATAATTTAAAAATAAGGTTATAGTTGTTAGAGGACATAGTGGATTTTACCAGTTTATAGAGTGAAAGAAATCCAGTCAACTGACGTAAATAAATCAAAAAAACATTGACTTAGTGTGTTTTGCTTGTAAACCAACGATTTGTCTAGGTACAACTTAATAAGAATTTTTTATATGTATAAACATACAATTAACGCAAAGGATATAATAATTTAAAAACAATTCAAGAATTAAATATGAAATAAAATAAATAAAAAAATACAATATAAAAGTATTTAAAGTGGTAATTATAAATAAAAAAGGATAAAATTGAAACCTTCTTCTACTTCGCTGAATTAATCAGGAAAGCGTGTTTCTCTAGAAACGTGACAAACAACTAACACAAGTGTAAAGCACAAATGTTTTGGTATTCTTCACTTACTGTGCTGTTCGTATTTGAAAAAAATAAAGTGCTTTCAAAAAAGTTATACATTAATAGCGTTTTGCTGTTCGCAATTCAAGTTTTGACATATATAAGATATATAAGATTTTCGGACATAGATAAGTCAAACATTAAAATATGGACCTAAATATTATGACTTGAATATTAAAATATTAGCAAATGTATGCTATTTATTATGTTTTTGATACATTATGATTCCTTATAATACCTTATGAAGTTTATAATTATAATGTCAAAATGACATTCAAATCCTAACCTAGGATATTTGGACCATAGTATAATCGTAGTAGGGTTTAGGGTGGAACTAATCCCCACAAAGACGAGGTTTAAATTTTTGAGCTCATTACTCATATCCTTTCAAAATACTAAAAGTCTAGAAAAATGTGAGTGTGCGAAATGCGTTTTTTGACCGCCATATTGAATTTTTTTTTTCAAAATTCATGAAAAATCGTTTGTGGTATCAAAAAACGGGAAATTTTATGCTGAAAAAGAACAAATTATAGATTAAAAAGAATAAAAATGAATAACAAAATAGTATGGAAAAACCTAAGTCTATAGGTATATAAAAATATGTAAATTCTTTTTTTTTTTTCAGGTGACTTTCTCAAGTTGTGACAAATCCTAAGAAACTTAACATGGCAGATATAAACTGTATCTTGTGCTCTAAAAAAGAAGGCGAAACTTTAAAGTTCGTTAAGTTATCTGCCAAATGTATACAAGGAATTATAAGTGCAAGTAAAATTCGAAAAGACAATATCCATGAGTTATTTGAACCATTTCATGATGACCCCATGAGGGTCCATGTTGAATGCCGCCGTGTATATACAAATCCTTATAATATCCAGAATGATCCAAAATTCAAGTTATCCACTCAGGATGAAGCACAAAGTAGTTGCAGGCGAGTACTCCGGTCGAATATACCAACATTTTTATTCAAAGAACAATGCTTATTTTGTGGTCGCTTTGTTACTGATCGTGAGAAACGGGATAAATCTGGGGTTATACAGGTCCGTAGAGTAATGTTTTAAAAATCAGTTATGAAGGCGTGTAACTCCAGAAATGATTTATGGTCAGCAAAGGTTCAATCCCGTTTGCTATTAATTAATGACTTGCCAGCAGCAGATGCCATTTACCCCCAGGCATGCAGTATACATTTTCGAAAAGGTGACCCGATCCCAAAAAAGTACCAAGATAATTCCAAAGACGAATTACGTTACAAACCTCTTGGTCGTCCTATGGAGAAAGACAAGCTAGATGCTTTTTTGAAAGTATGTAAGTGGTTTAAAGAAAATGATGAGCCGGTTTGTGCTCAGCAGCTGGTTACTAAAATGAAAGACTTTCTACCAGTAGTGAACCATATAGTGAGCGACACATGCTGCAAAAGCTTAAAGAACATTTTTTGGGAATATCATCGTTTCCTCGAAGTATGGATTGCCTAATATGATAACTATGGGTGAAACAGTGGCTGATATTATTTTGGATTACCAAAAGAAGAAAATTCATTTTTATTCTTTTTAATCCATAATCTGTTCTTTTTTAGCATAAAATTTCCCGTTATTTGATACCACACACGATTTTTCATGAATTTTGAAAAAAATTCAAGATGGCGGCCAAAAAACGCATTTCGCACACTCACATTTTTCTAGACTTTTAGTACGTTGAAAGGATATGAGTAATGAGCTTAAAAAATTAAACCTCGTCTTTGTGGGAATTAGTTCCACCTTTGGCCAATTTTTTGTGTAAATCTACTATACTACCATTCGGCATTTATGATTTAAAATTATGACAGCTTACAACAAAAATTAAAATCACTTACGAATAGCAAAATCGTCTAGTATTAAAGAATACCATAATCGCTGTTTGTCGTTTTGGTGATTGAGCTTTGTTGAGAAGTCCACTTGGCGCTTTCTGACTTGTTCTAGAATAACAAACTTCTCATTAATAAACTTTCAACACGTTTTTAAAGTTTTTGGAATTTTAGATCTTTCAAATAATCTCTTAAATAATATGTGCCATAAATATTTTCTACAAACACGCATTTTTAAATTTACATATTATTTTTTTTATAGATGTCTTCTTTATAAATAGAATAACCTATTCTATAGCTTCTGGAGCAATGTCGGTGGAATAACGTCTGCTAGAAAAATAATCATAAATCAGCAAAATCAAAAAGGCAAAAATATTAACAAATAATCCTATATAATTATTAAAAGAGAATAAGCTGTTTTTTTAACCATTTATGTACACTGTACAGCGTCTGTCAATATACAGAAACTTAATAAACATAATTTTAAGACATTTTTTACCCAAATAATTTTTGAATGAAAATCATTTTTGGACTTTTAATACCTACCTGTCCTAATGTCAATTCACAGCAACCTTTATTTATTTGCCAGTCAACTTAATAGGTTAGGGACAATAAATGCTGAACCTCCCTCGTATATTTTTTTGGAAAATTTGTTTTTTAATCCACTTTGGTTTCATAGAATGTGAACGAATCTTTTCTCACAACCGGTTACAGCTTCAGAATAGCCAAAGGAAAAGTTTCCTGTAAAATGGCCTATCGATCCTTAGTAAGAGTGAACTGTAGTTTAACTTCTCTCTATGCGATGGCGCAACGTGGCCTGAATTACTAAATTTCAAATTATGGTGCATGCGAGGAGAGTTGTATTATTTTCTAAAATTTTTCATAAATTCTGATGTTATTATACCAGCAGTAAATAAATATTGATTTTTAAGATAGCTTAAAAATTTAATTTAACCGTTTGAAATTCTTTCATTTCTGCAATTCGTTGTACCTAAAGGATATGTTACAAAACATTTAAGTAATTTTGTAATTTACAACGAAATGAACCAAAATTGTTTTTTGGGAATAAAGATTTAAATAAAATCTATTTGATTATAAAATTAAAAAATGTAGGTAAAGTCCAATTACAATAAGAATAACACTTAACACCGTTACGTAATAACCATTATTTGAAATATAAAATATATAGGTATTATATGTAACTATCAACAAATAAAGAATAAGTGGTTTGATTTAAAACATTTTCCTATAATATTAACAACTACAAGATAATAATTGTTTTGATTTCTATAGTACTTATCCCATTTGTCTTAAATACTTTTATTTTTATTTTAAATCGTCATTAATTTTTTGGTTTAGTTATTTGATATAGAAATAAATATTAAGGCAAATGGTAAGGATGTCGAGAAAGGGCATAATTTTACGTACTATACCCTTTAAATTGGTGTCTGTCAGTGTTGTTTATCGTGGCTTCAATAAAATGTGTTTACTACGTACGTACTAGAGTGATTTTTTTTGGACTATATTTTTTATTTAGCTCCCGTTCTAAAATTTTGTTGAAAATGCACCAAAAAAAATTCCCAAAAAGTTTCAGTCAATAATCGGCAAAAATTTTACAGTAAAATTAATTCAAGGCTTAATATCTCGAATCTCGACAAATATTGATCTTAGCGATTTGGTTCTCAGGACATTTTTTGTAGTAAATTAAATATCCTACAACTTTTTCATTTACATTTTTTCTGTAACTCTTCTCAATTATGACATAGGGTCGAAATAACGACGATGTGAGTTACGACATCGCCGCAATGGATACTTTTGTAGAGCGTTCAATTTGGAGAAATACATGTCTATGGTCGAAATAATACCATGAAATGCCGCTAAGTTATAGAAATCTGAAGAAAAAACCCTAATTTTACGTGTATTTTAAATGGAAAATCTTTGCACGCCTTGTTCGAGGACTTAATATTAATATTAAGAGCTCAAACTTTCAGGGAATTTTTTTGGGGCATTTTCAACAAAATTTCAAGACCGAAGCGAAAATAAAAAAAATAGTCGAAAAAAATCACCCTAGTACGTACGTGCACGGGTGGATATGATTTGTTTAAAAATCTTTAAGTCAAAGTTTTACGAAAAAACAGAACAATTTCACAAACTTTACACAGTCAGCAGATGATTAAATCCAACTTATGAATGGTAGGCATTCACAGCTGCCCATTCGAATACAAAACTATCCAACTTTTTCTAAGGTGTTTCTCTAAATTGAGTCTTGTTTTTATTCTCTCTCTGATTTAAGATCTCCGGCCATCAATTATCTTTTTCTGGTATTGCAGTTCATATTTACTTATATTAGAGATAATTAAAATTGTAGATATTACTGAGCTGTGCATTACTATGTTATCGAATCACAAATTTGAAAGTATACACGGTATATAATCTAGTTACCTAATCTTTTTGTATCACTTATACACAGTGTTTTTAAACTAAATAACTTTATTAAATTTTCATAATGTGTAAAAGTGGACAGTGTACTACTGTACCTAGGTTATAAAATATATAAACTCCCTACATACAGATTGATTACAATTTTTTTTCAGTCATACATAGATAGAGTTTATTGACAACTGCTGGCCACTCGAACTTACACATAGAGATTTTTAGGCAAAATTTAAAGTTCAATATTTTTAACAGGAATGCATATTTTTGAGCGCGGCTTGCAGATTTTAGAGCTAGTTTTTTTCGGATTAAGCTGCATGACGCATATTTATCGTAGGACCATAGGTTTATTATATACGGGGTGATCAATGAAGTGATGCAAAAAATCATTGCATTCCTGCTGAAAATATTGAACTTCAAATATTGCATAAAAATCTCTTATGTGTAAGTTCGAGTGGCCAGCAGTTTACTACATGCAGATACCTTTGAAGTCACAATAATAAAATATTTAAAAAACATTAAAACTTAAGTAATAAAATATTTGAGCTAAAACACTGAGAGTTAAAATAATAAAATATCCTAAATTAATTAGAATTGAAAATTTACATTATTAATATACTAATAAGGTTTATACTAATAAGGTTTTAACAAGTTGCAGATTTAATTCCTTTACGAATTTATGTATGCTATAGAGCAATGTTGAAGGAGAAAATGAGTTACAAATTTCTTATTGTCGAGATCTTCTGATTCAAAATATTTTCGAATGAAATTATAGAGTGAAACATCTAAAGAATTGTTTTTAGTAATCTGAATTCTAGATTTCTTGAGGACTATGTCTTGTTCAAACCAGGTACGGGTGTTATAATTATGTACATCTTCGTACTTATTTAAATTATTTCGTTTATTGTGTGTTTCAACTCTGGGAAAAAAAATTGCGATTTTCCGTTCAGTTATGTAGTTGTGATTTTCATTTGGCCCTATTTGAGAAGGGCTCAAAGTGATTTAAATCTAAATTACAAAGTTGATTTATATCGTAACTGAACATTTCACATAACCTTAACTGAAGAAAATATAGATATAGATAATAAGTGTAATTTAGATGTAAAAAGTCTTCAGTTAAGTACAGTTACAATTTTTAAATAATGCAATTGAAACTTGCAGTTTTGATCAACTTTACATTTTAATTATCTATATATAGGTGTCAGTTATTTAAATGTGTTTTTCAGATGGTTTTATCTGCACCTTGGCAATCTGTAAATTACATGTACCTACTCTCCAATTTTTATAGATATGTTAACTAATGGCATAATTACGACCTTCGCAAATTCTCACAAGTAAAGTATCCCTGATTAACAGGTAATTTGTAGTTATAATTTGCATAATGATCTTGTTATTTTATCTATTTTTATAGTGTTTTAAGCTCTCTATTATTTGGGGAGTGGGTCAGGTTATTAAACAACTCGTATTACTTTGAAAAAGAATGTTGAGCGCCACAATATTTAAAACTTACTAAACTTGATTATCGATTAGTGATAAAATATAGAAAATCACTAACCATTAAGATATGATAATTAAATAAGGTATTAGATAAGGTAGCGACAAATTCTAATTCACAGAGACTTACTTATTCAAATTTAAATGATTTATTGAAAATTTATCTATAGTATAACAGGTAGCAGGTACATGGGATTCGTATGATAGGCTTGTATATCACCAACTGATAATTCTTCTTAGGTAAAGTTAAATCTCGTACACTTCTTTGGATGGCTCGAACTAAACCTCTTGAAATACTTGAAACAACCTCTGTAGCTGAAACCAAACTTCTAAGTTTCAATATTTCTACACATGCAGCTGGAACGTTCTTCCTAACAATCTTTTTCGATAAATTTCTATAAAACCATCGATATAACTTCTACTGAACTTCTACTGAAACCATCTATATACAACTTCTATAGGACCATCTATATACAGCCAAGCTTTATAAAATCAGACGGTCATTAAAAATATTAAAGACAATTAGTACATCGGATGTACTAGATAAAAGATAATTAAAATTCAATAATCAACTTGCTTGTCGACAGAGATAAAACGAAATGACAATCCAAGTTTTGACACAAGGCATAAAACGACAAATGACGTTTGTGTAGAGATGGTTCCGATCGTTACAATGTTTGGGTCCAAATAACGAAAACGGTTTTAACCGTTACAAATTTGCTGACAACCAGTGGCGGCTTATGATAATTTAAAATGGGTGTTCACTTTTTCCAATAATTTTATCATTTGTAAGTTCGGTTCAAAATCTTGTACAAGTGTAGTTATTAATATCAATATCATACTGTTTTTAAGCACTACAACTATTAATGAATGAATAAATAAATGAATATTTTAGTTATTGTAATATTTGTTTTGTTTTTAATACGTTGAAAACCATCTATAAACATTATTAGTCAACTGACTTTTCTTCATATTTTAAGATTATTTTTAAATTGACATTGATTTTTGTGTAAAAAAATATTACATGAAACTTTACCTACCATTTTTTCAGTTTTTATTGTAAATTTAATCATTTTCACTATTTGTCACAGATGTTAAATAAAATAGTATATTTTTTAAATACTCTTTATTGGTAAAAAAACAAGTGAACTAAAATGTGTATTTTATCATCACAATACATAATATTACACAGATACAAACTAGAATAATATATAATGCGTGACATTCTAAATTATAATTTTCACAGCTCAACTGACCCTCTTAACCCCCATTTTCAATCATTTTCAGAATCAATAGGCATTATCTCTTCTTATAGAGTTTAATTTTTACTAAACATTTCATGTTGATATCGCTTTTCTTTTTTAATTTAGGATTTTGTTTTAATTTCAACTCATCCTAACCCCCTATTTTTAATCAGATTTTTTCATAAACAATAGGCTTTGTCCCTTTATAGAGCTTGGTTTTTGCTTTAAATTTTCAAGTTGATATCATTTTTCGTGCAGACAAAAACCGTGACATCGGACAAAGTAAACCTATAATACTATTCACAGACTACTGTGTAAAGAGTAGAATAATAATATAATCAAGGCTAAAACAATAACATGATTGCCTAAAAAATAGGTACACTAAAAGAATGATAAAGTCAAAGAGTCGAAAATTATTTAATAGGTATATCAGTACTTCGAAGATAAACTGTGCTTTCATTCTAGTCAGCTTTACAGTAGATCAGACTGAATATTAATTGAACACTTGTATAACCAGCAAGTAGTAACCTTCAACTTGGTGAAAAAATAAAATTCTCATACTTTTTTAAAACTTCATTTGTCTTTTGTTGGGAACAAAAAAATTTGCTCAATGCATAATTGGGTATATTCTGTATTATATTTTTAGGTATTATCTGTAGACTCTGAAACAAAAAACAAAATAAACTATAATTTGGAAGTACACATAACCCCAAAGATAATAGTAATTTTTTTACTTCTGACCATTTTCGGTGAGAATCGCAGTTTCGTTTAAACTTAATTTTTAATACAATTTACAATTAAAATTGTCTCTGATTGTCTCATGTTGATTTCTAGAATTTGACAGCTTGATTTTAAACCTTGAGAAGATAAAATATGAAGTAGGTAGATAACGAAATAAGGACTATTTTGTGATATGACAAGTGGAGGCACTTTGCGTCATATTTTGATTAATTTTTAGTTAATAATTTTTTATTTGTAGAGTGACGGAATGAAAATGTTTTTATATCATTTAAATCACGCTATTTTAAATAAAGGGCATTTATTATCAACAAAACTGACTAGCTCGAGTTTGACATATGTCGTAAAAGAGTAATACAAAAGTGAGACGTTTAGTACCATCATTGCTTCTCTATATCTATGATTTGAAAGATTGGTATGGCCTCGCCTACTTTGTGACGTCACGGTGTGCGTTGCGCAAATTAGGCTGATTTAAGTTATTTTATTATTGTTTCACTACAATTCAGGGATCTATTATAGTGTGACATCTCTTTTTAGCTAAAGATTTTCAAGAACGCTTCTCACTTCCGCGGGATCACTTATAAAAGCGCGCCAGAGCGCAGTGGCGTACCCAAAAATAGATATTAACACGTATAAAAAAAAATAAAATTATTAAAATTGAATTAATATTTTTATGTTATTATTTTAAAATAATCTGTTTTTATGAAATGTAACTAGGTGTTTACTGTACAAATAAACCAATGAAGAAACCGCTCCTGCTGACAACTATGTAGTTTATACGTATTATTTCTCTGATTTTCATATTTCCGTATGTATAACTTACATTTATATTTTTTAACAACCTTCGATTTTACAAAAATATAAATGAATTAGTTATATAATATCTAGAGATTATAATTAAATGTAGTGCTTTAAATTATCAAAAGGTGTTCATGACCTAATAGCTATACGGAAGACCTGTGAATTTAATACGATACTTTTACCATTTTACTATTCATGTTGTAAAAATCCAGACATGATGAGTTACTTAACTTTAGAATAGCTTGACGGACGTGGCTTTCTAATATAGAACTCATAAAAAAGGAAAATTTGGTTTCGTAACTTTGTTTAAAAAGTCACTCGATTCAGACAATGGGCGACTAATCGATTGCAGAACTGTTTGCAAAATAGACACAAAGAATTCGTTAAAATAATCTGAGGATATAGTTGAGTTGGCTGTGTTATTTGATTTGGTTTTTCTTTCCTAATTAATTATTTCCCAACAAGATTTCGACTTATTATCTGAATTACTAATAATATCGACATAGGCTCTCCTTTTTTTTCTCTCGAATTGTTTTCTGATAATTTTTTCGTAGATCTACATATACATATCAATCGTTTTCAGAACGAGTTTTTATATATCGTTTTTTTGCGTTATTAACATTAGTCCTCATGTTACGTAATTTATTTGTAAACCATTTTATATTGTTTTTTATTTTTGTTGGTTTTATTGGAAAACATGTCTACATTACTTTGCATGGTATTCATTATAAGTGTTTCTAATTCTATTGCGTCAATAAGGACTACATCCAAATTTTCCCAAGAAATATTGGACAGATTATTCTTAAAGTCCCTTATCCTCCTATTTGATATATTTCGCTTCTTAACAATATTATTTTTTACGATTTTCCCGTTAGGCATGTCTAGACAGATGAATTGGCCATTATGGTCAGCAATATGTGGATCGACTAATCCTACTCTAAAACAATCTTGAGTCCAAATTTGTTACATTGTTATCTAAACATGATTCACTATTTAATGGTGTAATTTAAACCGTAGGTTAGGAGAACATTACAAATCTCTTTAGCTTTGTCCTCGTTTTTGAAAAATCTATATTGAAATCTCCAACTAATATATTTTTATATTTTGAATACAAATACGCTAGTAGTTTTAACAAACAATCTTTAAAAATTACCAACTTGTTTCTACTTGAGATCGGTATAAGGTAATCAAAATTGTAGAGTAGTTTTTTATTTCTACTCCACAAAATTCTGTCATATAGAACACAATACTAATTTAAACTTATTGCATTACATTAAACATTTTCCTTTGTGAATATTGCCACTCCACTGTCTGATTTCTTCGGACGTGTATAGTTTGATACTAAAAGATATTCATTCAATTTAACTACTTCTAAGTCAAGGCTTATCTAACTAGTATTCTGAGATGCAAATTATATCAAATGAATTTTCATTAAGGAAAATTGACAAATCATGTAACTTGTTTGCTAAACTTCGTACATTTATGGGAAAAATAGAAAATACATTAGAGCTTATTAAATACTTTATAATACAAATATATTGATTTTAAAACCAAAAAAGGTTTATTTTTATTTGATTTCTTTTCGCAACTGGTGATATAATGAATTTTTCGAAACCAGTTTCATAATGTTCAACATTATTCAACTGGTTGCGTAAATTAGATAATTTTGACACTTCTTTTCAAAAAATATCACTTTATATGTCAAAATTAGACAAATATATTTTGAGCGATTTTTCAACAACGTTTCACAATACAGTAAATGAAACTTCAGTGAGTTTAATTTAGAGATGTTGCCTCCAGTTAAGATTTTCATCCAATAAGATGCCTGGAAATTTGACGCTACTGTGGCTCTTCGTCAAACATTAAACTCTAAATATGTATCATCTACTTTTCTTTCTACTTTGTTTAGCCTAACAATTTTTTTCGCTATAAAAAAATAAGGAATTGCATTAAATAAAATCAGCTCACATTGCCTCAAGATATTTATTAGGTTTATCAGAAACAGCAGAAAAGTCATCGACATAGGCTATATAAAAATCCTTTTCCATATTATAAATTTCACATGATCAAGACATCAGAGGAATAGCATTTGACCTAAAATATATCCCTCTGGCACCATCTTTTTCAACTGAAAATAGATCTAAATTAAAATGTTGATATTGACCTTTACTAGTGAAATTTATGGAAACAAACTGAGACCTACCTTTAGGAAACCAGATATTACTCAGACATTTTCTAATCTGAACAATCAAAGGTCAATGCTCTTAAAATGGGACAGGTTTCATTGAATTGTCCTGTATAGTAGATACTGTTTGCATATTTGGTTGAGTTTCGATTAACCATGTAGGTCTGGTTATATGACTCGAGTTCAAGAAGAGTTCAACTGAACCTGGTTTTGACTATGGTAACACTGTATCATTATGATTAGTGTAAACTCGAGTCAAATAACCGGACCTAAGTTTCAACTATTATCGGTTCACTTGAACCCTCGCGGATACTTTATGCTTTCTATAATTTTCAATTTTACCGAGAATCGATTATTTTCCTTATTTTTACTATATCTTATAAAACTAATTACCCTATTCATAACGTTTATTAATATTTTACATTGTATAATTTTATTTTACAGATAGCTAATATTATCTTCGACTAAGAACCTTTTCTTGTTTTTTTTTTAAACGAAACCATAAAAATATTGTAAAGGTTTTTAGACGTTTTCGTGACAATTACGTTGCAGAAGCATTTATTATTTCAAAAGGACATTGTACAAAATTATGAAACAGTTCACCGACATAAAGTTTTGGAAAAGTTTCCGAGAAATTATTATTCAAGGAGTTTGAAGTTTCTTCTTTAGTTTTCTGTATTTTTTTTTGTGTGTATAATTATTTTTATTTAGAGTATGACAGGTTATTTCGTTAGGGGATCATTTGTTAAATAGTAATAAAAAAGACGGAATAATTATTCTATTGTTTGCAAGGTTTTGAAATTCATTAAACCAAACAAAATTAAGTGGTCAAAGATACAGGATTGCACTTTCATGTATTTTTGAATATTTAATTTTTCTGTTATTTTTATAAATAGATACTTTAACTGTTTCTTTCTCATTTTTTTACTGTTAGAAACGCCCCTGTAAATCTGAAGCAGAAGGGTAAGGTAAGGCCGTTTTTTGTTGTTTTTTTTTTGTTGTTGTTTTTTGTTACTGTTTTTTTTGTTGGTTTTTGTTTTTTTTGTTGGTTTTTGTGGTTTTTTGTTGTTCTTTTGTTGTTTTTTTTTGTTTCTTTGTTGTATTTTGTTGAGTTTTGTTTTTGCTTTTTTTTTGTTTTTTTTTTATTTTTTCCAGACTTACAGTGTACAAAATGCCCCTCGGCCTATTTACATTTCAAAAGTATTTCGCATGCCTTCAGAAACAATGATGTTGCCAAATTTACAGAAATCGGGACAGTCTACCAGTGGAATTGAATGGGCGGGTGAAACATCTACGCCAAAGTTATTTTCTAAAAATAAACTCAGTGATTTAATACGTGATCTCAATTTATCAAAATAAGGATCAGAACTGTTAGCCTCAAGATTGAAAGAAAACATTTATTGGACCAACAGTAACAATTACAACATACAGAACGCGAGAAAGTGAGTTATTACAATTTTTTAGTGAAAATGAAGGACTGGTGTACTGTAATGATAATGCGAATCTGCTTTTAGACATGGGTTTAAAAGAATACGAACGTACTGAGTGGCGCCTTCTTATTGACAGTTGTAAAAGAAGTTTAAAATGAGTCTTACTGCACAATGAAAATAAATTTGCATCAATTCCAATTGCCCATTCAACAAAACTCAAAGAAGAATATGAAAATGTAAAATTAGTTTTAGAAAAAATTAATTACTCAGAGCATCAATGAATGGCCTATCTGTGTGGATTTGAAAATGGTTAATTTTTTACTTGGTCAACAAAGTGGATACACAAAATACCCTTGCTTTATTTTTATGTGAGACAGTAGAGCAAAGCAACTTCATTGGGAACAAGATGTTTGGTCTGTAAGAAATTCTTTAACTGTCGGTAAAGCCAATGGAATAAGGAAGCCGTTGGTGAGTAGAGACAAAATTATACTTCCACCATTACACATTAAATTAGAAATGATAAAGCAATTTGTAAAAGCGTTGGACAAGGAAGGAGATTGTATTAATTACATTTGTAGAAAATTTATTTCCGAAGCTTAGTATGGGAAAGCTGAAAGGTGGAAGATTTGATGGTCCTCAAATACGAGAATTGATAAAAGACTTAGATTTTATTAAAGTTATGACTGTTCCGGAAAGTAAATCTTGGAAAAGTTTTGTGTTGGTAGTTGAAAATTTCCTTGGTAATCATAAAACACCAAATTATGAAGAAATTGTACGAAATATGCTGACAAACTTACAGACTGTAGGAGCAAATTACACTATCTGGATAAATTTCCGGATAATATAAGAAATTATAGTGAGGAACAGGGAGAGCAGTTCCACTAGGATCTAAAAGTGATAAAAGTGATAGAGGAATGGTATCAGGGTCGATGGGATCGTTACATGATGGCAGATTACTGCTTGGCTTTAAAAAGAGATTGTCCCCTGAAAAAGAAACGCTCATAAAGGGCGTTTTATGGAAATTTAACATATGTTTTCGATATTTTTCTCTCTATTTACTTCGATGTATGCTAAGTTTTCAAAACAAAAGTAACATTATAAATTTATCTGTTATTTTGTTTCTTGTTTTCCAATTTTTGTAATGTAAAATGAAATTAAAGATTTAAAAGAAAACAAGAAAAAATCTTACGAAATCATTGATAGTTTCATAAATTGTAAGCATAAATATATCCAAAATCAATCTTATATCTAGGGCAACAAAACCATTGTAGACCAGTGTAATATCTATTTTTGACATGCATATATTCTCTTTTATATGTAAATAAAATTTTTACAAACTAAATTACTTATCACCGCAGATAATAAACAATATTATTATTTTAATACTAATTTGTTTGTTTATACCTAATTAAACGAATACCAGAAGGTTTTCTAGAAAATTAAAAATTTTTATTAATTCTTTTTACATAAATATGATTAAGAATTCCGATGCGTTGGTATAGCAAAATTATAATATATATTTAAGATTAGATAGTTTTTGCAAAGAACGACTAAACTTATCGGATAATGTTTTATTAAGAAGTTTTATAAACGTTTTTGGCAACGATATAATTTAGAAAAAGGAGTCCAACAAACAAAAAAGGACGTCGCTCATCAAGAATAAGAATCGCGAGCAAAACAAAATGCTGCTTGTCGGCGGCCTCGTCTGTGTTTTCGTCCAAGAAGGCCTTGCCAAAAGGACAAAAGAAGGTGCAATCGCTGCTTTATTAGAAGATCGGATTTCCAGTTCCATGGTTTGTCCGATTCCCATTGAAAAGGCGAACAGCATCCGCACTATATGGCACTCTTTCGCTTCGATGCAGTGTTTTTTGTTTTTTATTTTTTCGTTGTTGGTTGTTTTTTCACTTTCGGAATTGTCGCGGAAGTTGAAGGTTTATATTCTTAGAACCACTGTCGGATTATATAACCTCATGGCTGTCCAAAGCTTCTTGTGATTCATCGTGCAAACGTTCTTAATTTTTAAAGATAAAAATAGCATTAAATTTGTTTTGATTCAAGAACACCATTAAATGGTTTTTAATGAAAATGCTTTCTACATAAAATATAAGAAACAAAAACGTGAAATAGATACTGTCTCGAAGTTCTGTTATTAATTTATGTATATTGTAATAGTATTTTATTTTATGTAAATCATTAGATTTCTACCTACATCTTCGTATTTTTTGTCATTTTTTTGTTCTATTTTTGACATCTAAATACACGAATATATTATGACCGATGTTGTTAGTCCAATGTAAGGGACAGAGCCAAAAAGTATTTGGTTTGCTGATTTCTAGGCTAGTGAATCGGCAAGAGGGTTACCTTTTGATGTGACATGGCCTTTGATCCATCTTACGGCGACCACATTGTTGTTGAATACGTCGTCTAAAGCTTGGTGACGTTCTAGTAGATACTAGTCCTGAGTAAATTAATGCTTTATACAGGGAGAGTAGTACGTGTTTGCTATCTGTATAGATTGTTCTGGTATTTTCTTTTATGCTATGATAATCTCCGTTAGCTCAGTTTGAACCATACTAGCACTTTTACTCCGTCCATTATATGATATGTTTAGGTTTAAGAATCTGGAAAATTCCATACCTTAACCTTGTTTTTTCTTCAAATCATGGGTTTAGATTTGACAACATTGCCTAGGAATTTGTAGTCTGTCAAAAATTATAAAAGTAACTTTACTAAATTAAAAACAGAAACAAAATAGTATATTGTGTGATTAGTGCTGTAAAAAACATATCGCGCAGTTTATTCCATGAGTTCCTATAATTGCTTTATAATACGTATTACGTACAATACTTTACCTGCGACCAATTACACAGGTAAATTTGCGTAAAAATATTTGTTTAATATATTCCGTGTGTCTTTTTTACTGTAATTTTTTTTTATTATGTATGATGAGTTATTTACTACGCCTATAAGTCATGTGTTTTGTTTGTTTTCCATAGTGGTCGTAGGTCAAGAAAATATACAAATTCAAGAGAAAACTCAATTAAGTCGTAGAAGCCTATTAGTCAACGGCAATATAAATTTACTTTATCATAGCATACTCGGGTAGAAAGTTAATAATTAACAAGTGAGAAATAAAGTGAGAAAAAACTATTAGGAACTGTCTGAAGCAACAGTACGAAATAAGTATAATCTGAGAAATAAATGGAAAATAGCTGTGAGAAATACCTATGGGATATAACTAATGTAAGAAATAACTGTGTAATATACCTAATGTAAGAAATAACTAGGTAAAATAACTGTGAGACGTCATTTCTCACACCTCAGTTTTTATATAAACTTCCAAATTTCTACATAATAAATATAATTTAACACATACTTTCTGTGGTTAAAAAGTTAAATTTTTTATATGTTCACATTTAGTTAGAAATATTTGTATTGAAATGGCAGTGTTAATTTAAACAAAATTTTCGATTTTGTCAAAAATAAACGAACTTTACTCTTGAGCAAAATTCATATTTTTTGACAAACCTCGTATACGTCTTGAAAAATTTGATATGTGATGACTGTATTTTAGGTTTTGGGTCATGCAGGACTTTTTATCAAGAATAACTTTTTTTCCTAAAATCAATAATAAAAATGTTTTCCATATGGTTCCAACTTAAGTAGACACACTGTATATGGTCTTAAAAATAAATTAAAAGCAAAAAGAAAGTAACATATAGTATATTCGACAATTTTCTATCACAGAGAACTCTCGTTAATTGATGAATTTTGATGTAGGAACATGAAATTTACCATAAAACAAAAACGTCTTTAAATATTTTTTTTCAAATTTGATCTACCAAGATCATGTCAAAAACACAAGTTATAAAAAATTTGACACGTGCTTACTAGATTAGAATTTAAAAATATTGAGTCCCTAAAAGTGACTAAGAACATGTAGACGTTTATTGTTTAGAAGCAAATTTCTGCAACACTGTTTATTTTAGCTTCATAACAAGTTCACTTTTTATTTACTAAATTAACAGAGAATTTTAAAAAATAATAACATTAAATAAGAATAGTTTATATGAAAATATTACTTTATTAAAGAGCATATTGGTCACCAAATTTGAATATAATATTTAAAGGCGTTTTTGATTTATGGCAAATTTTAAATTTTGATTTCAAAATTTTAACACCCTGTATCTAGGTAACTAAGCCCCTTAAGGGTCCATGTTCCTATATCAAAATTCATCAATTAACAAGAGCTCTCTGGAGTAGAATATACTAACACCCTGTATAATATACACTTCTACTACTGCAAAATCATTTTTCATTTTTATCCTAACTCACTTGCAGAAATAACCTTAAGAAATAACTGTGAGAAATAACTGTGAGAAATACTTGTGAGAAATAACTGTAAGAAAGAACGGTGAGAAGTAACTATTAGAGATAATTTTAATATATAACTGTAAGTTATAACACTAATAAACGATATTATATACTTCAAAATGCCTTCAAAATAAATATAATTTTACATAGTTACCTTTGATTTATTTGTAGTAAAAACTTGAGAATTTGAGAAGATAATACCATAGTGTCATTTTATATGTGCTCGAGTTTATTTAGATAGAAATATTTGTATTGAAAAAGCAATGTTAATTTATACATTCACTGTTAGGTTCTAATTAACAGTTCTGTTCCTAAACTGTCGCTGGGAAATATTAACAAATTTTACACAGAAAACGAGAGTTATACTGGCCACACCAAATATCGTATAAAAGGTTTTCAACTTTTTTTGGTTTTATTTTTTTATTGAAACAATTATGTTTTTATGTGTCCTAAAGCAAAAATACAAGAAGACAAATAAAAGATTAAGTAATAAATGAGTATACAGATTTTAATAAAATGTATAGCATTTTACATTTCAACATCGACTACAACGTGCTACTAAGCCAATTCTGCAAATCAAATTATAAAATACACAGATTTACTAAACTTTTATTTGTTTCCAACCCTCAACGGATACCCTCGGAATCAGAATTTGCATTCACATGAAAATCCCCCAACGAAAAAGCGGCATTTTCCCAGCAGGCGGCAGGAAATCTTAGGTTAGTCGAAGCAGAGCTAAAACACAGCAGCAACAGAGATGACTACAGGCGCGTGCACGAGGGAGCAAACAAAATTATCCACCTTCAGTTATATATTGATTAAACAATTCTTAAAGAAAATAACGAAAGTAAGACCAACAATCACATACGATAGTTAAACAAGAGCATTACAAAATAAAAAGAAAACCCATCTAAAAAATCCACGAAAAATTTAACAAAAGAATTGGGAAAATAATAAATCCAAAACAAGATAATATTGAGCGCATAGAAGTGAAACATTTGAGATGGTTTGGATATCGTCAGATTAAAAGAGGCAAGAAGTACCTACTAGTATAAGTAAAAAAATGGAGAGAACATGCAATGTCCCGTTAGTAATCCCACAATGGTGGATATCTGCGAGCTGTAGTACCTCAGCAGCTATGCCAGTGAGTTTGGTATTTATCCACTTGTTCACAGCCTATCTATCAGAGGTTTCGCTTATCCCAGACACAAATTCGAATGCTATTTGCCTTTTACCTCTCTTTTAAGGGGCATATGTATGTACCTTGTTATCGATCAGACATAATTGGATTAAAATTTTCAATGAACATAATATTGCTTCAGCTTTTATTTGTGTTAGTACAAATAATATTGTTTAAGTAACTATTTTCTTCCTCTTTCCTATTTTAAATTCTTTTTTATTGTGAGCCTGTGGATAACCCATAAAACACGAAACTAGTGACATCTTAGTTATTATTAAAATATTGTAGTAATGATTTCTAGTTTAATTGTTTCTAAATTTTTGAAGGTGTTTGGGTAGTTGCAGAATCTATGTTTATAATTCACCAAAACTGAGATCTAGTCTACCTCTGACAATATTTACCATTTAATATTAATTTATGATTTATGTTAATTGTTATGATGTTTTTCGTTCTGATAGAAATTATGCCCTTACGAATAATGCAAGGGGTGGAGGCGTCCTATTAGCAACTAAAAAATATCTATACGCGTCTCTATTTGATCATAATTCTTCAGTTGGTTTATTCAGAGAAATACCTAATAATGATATAATTGCTATAAAATTAAAGCTAGTTTCTAAAAACATGTATATTTTTAGTACATATGTTTCACCAAGTATTTATATTGTCGAATATGATAAACTATTTGATGCCTTAAAGTCACTTTATACTATCTATAATGAAAACATTTTAATAGTAGGAGACTTCAACATTCCAGAATATACTTGTTCCATCAAGGGTACTACCTTAGGAGGTAGAAAATCGCAGTCATTAATAAATTACATAAACTATCTTAATCTATCACAGTATAATCAGTGTGTCAACTTTTATAATAGAATCCTAGATCTTGTACTTTCTGATAATAGTTGCAGTATCTCAAAATCTATCGATCCACTAGTGCTAGAAGATAAGTACCATCCAGCTCTAACAACTGAGTTCCGTTTATAAAAATCTTGTCTTTCAGCTTCTTTAACATCTACTGCTGGGTACAATTTTAAAAAATGCAATTTACACACCGATTGGTCAACATTAAAACCCAAGATGACCAATGGTCCAGACTTAATTCCAGATTTCTTAGTAAAAGATTGTACTTCATTTCGTTGACCCTTATCTGTGATTTTTAATTTGATGCTTAAATCTAAAAAGTTTCCTACTCGCTGGAAATTATCCAGAATTTTTTCCGTGTTTAAAAAAGGAAATAAAAATGATATCGCTAACTATCGGCTGATAGCCATATTGTCTAACTTTGTTAAACTATTTGAAATTGTATTCATGACTATTTATCACATCATGTCAATCTACCTTTATCCCAGAACAACATGGTTTCATGGCTGGACGATCCAATTTATTCTGCAAAAACGCAATATATATGTGATGCACTAGACAAGAGAAGACTTCGATAAATTAGATTATGGATTATTATTAAATAAGCTTAATTCCCTTGGGCTAAGCGGTTCTCTTTTTGCTCTCTTTTATTCTTACCTCTCTGAAAGAACTCAATATGTTTAAGTATTGGGACACATTCCATCAAACGTCAGGTGTACCACAAGGTTCCGTATTGGGGCCATTACTGCTCATAATTTTTATAAAGGATATTGCAAAAAATTTGAATGCCAAATATCTACTATATGCAGATGACATGAAGCTATTCTGTTAAATAAATACAATGACTGACTGTATATTTATCCACGTAGTGCAAAAATAATGATAACTCGCTTAACCCAACTAAGTGTAATGAAATTCTGACGTAAAGAGGCATCAATTATATTTAACTATTCAATCGATAACGTTGTTCTTGAAATACCTGATTTTATTAAGGATTTAAGCATATATTTTGATCAAAAATTATTATTTGTGTTGCATATAGAAAAAACAGTTACCTCTGCGTACCGTTCATTAGGTTTTATAATTCGCAACTGTAAACAATTTCATAGGATCGAAACAATTAACCTTCTGTTTTCAGCGTTTGGCACATCTCAGATGGAATATTCGTGTGTTATCTGGAGTCCGAATTATAGTGTACATATGTCCAGTTTCGAGCGAGTCCAACGAAGATTTTTTAAATCGGCAAGTTACATACTTAACAGTAATTATCCACCGAGAGGCTTCCATTTTTATTACCTACATCAATTTTACCCTGTTAATGAGCTTAGGCCGTGGATATTGTCCCATAAATAAATAAATAAATAAATAAAAAGTAAATAAATAAAAAAAGAACTTGTGTGAGCAGGATGCACAATGAGTCTACCGAGGCCTAAGTGCTGTGCAGCGTAGCTTATTTTTTAAATATTGTTTTTAAATGTTTTACGATTTTATCACTGAATCAACCATGCACAGATTCTGAACCAACCAAACATGTTTTTTTTTCGATAATTACATGAAGTGACCCTAAGCGCGCCACTGTCAGACCGTGATCGATGGAGAAAACAAACGAGTCGCGAATGTCGCTGGCAAGTGACCAGTAGCCAAAATACAGTAATTCCCTACATGATAGATACTGACCAAGCACAGTGGCCCAAGCGCGCCGTCAATAAGAACAAGAGAAACTGGCATAACAAGAAATTGGTTGGTATATATGAAGAGACGGGAATTAGGTAGATGGAGCGTAACTGTACGAATTGCAGAATTTCCAACATAAATTGAATTTTCACTAGAATGCACCCTGGCATAGACACTTATACTTTCGATTCGTATATTTAATCAAATTGATAACAGAGGGAGGGCATATTGTCGCAATGATAAGTAAAGCAAGTCAAATTCAAAACAAGATACTTGTATTCCATATGTAAAAAGTTCAATGTGAAAATCCTTGAACCAAAGTCTAAAGTTATAAAAACTTTGGGTTTAGGCTTTGCAGGGGTAAAAAATACAGCTGCCTTGTATTAAATAAAAAGTGAATAGATAATAATTATTTTGTTTCATTATTTATGTCTAAATATTAAGCTGATGACTAGTTTTTTTTTTAGCTAAAATCGCACTTTCCTTATTACAGACATGAAGATATAGAGGTTTTGTTTAGCTTTATTTCGCTGAGATCATAATAAAAACTGTATATTACAACCATTTTTACAAAAAACATTAACAGAACACAATGACTGTAGAACACTTTAACCCTTAACCTCACAAAATAAAAAAAAGCACTAATCCAAATCTCAGACAACCATGCTCATGAACCAATTTTGGGATTGCTCCATACTTCATATAATATCAGAGTTATTTAGGAAAGAAATGTTTACCACTGTAAATAAAAAACTAAATTGTATTTACAAATATTTAGAAAGATTAAACTATTATCAATTCACACAAGGAAGTTTCAAACTATTTCCAATTCACACAAGGAAGTTTCAAACTATTTCCAATTCACACAAGGAAGTTTCATACTATTTACAATCGCATACATAATAAAGGGTGTTTCAATAATAGCGCAAAATGTGAATTGCGCGCCAGATTGGCTGTCATGATGTCACATTAGTATGGCATGCCAAGTGGATAGGATACAGATGGGAGTTAGTAAACAAGGTTTCAGCAGAACTTACCATATAGCCTCTGAAACATTCACTGTCTTGCACGAATCTTTTCCTGATCGTGTGATTTCCCGATTTGGCTACGTAAATTGGTTGCTACGCTCTTGAGATTGCCACTTTCGGAATTTTTATACTTTTGGATTTGGGGTTATCTGAAGTCACAGATTTGTGCCAACAAGCCCGCGACCACCGAAGCATTTTTAAGGCCGAATTTAGACACATATGCAACAAGGTTATTGAAAATTTCACAAAAAGAGTACGCATGTGCCAACAAGGATTTGGCGGCCATTTAACAGATGTGTTGTCCCATATATAATTTCCGAATATCTACATTATAATACAATAAATATTTAAATCCTTTGTTACAATAAAACATGTTTCATTGAACCTTTAAATCTTGCGCTATTACTGAAACACCTTTTACAGTGAACCATGTGCTCCATTGCTGACGTAATACAGAGAAATGTACTTATTAAATGGAATTGATCATTCCTGATAGTCTCTGCAAATGGTAGTTTCTCTACGAATAGTTTATCTACAACAGAGAATTCCAAACTATTTTAGGCAAGACACCCCTTTTCTAAAATGAACAAATACGTCGGACCCCCATAGGCAAATTACTTTAAAAATCTATGTGTAGTTTTTTCCTATTGATACATAATACTACCAATTTAAAAACTTTGCGGTTAGTTAAATGAGTAAATAATATTTATTAATTCAAATTACTTAAAAATACTTAAGTAGGTAATTATTAAAAAAAAGAACATAAAAATCTCTAAGTAAATATAAAAAATTCAGTGTGATGGATGAATCTGGTGACTTTTTACCAATCTAGCTAAATCTGGTTTAATATTGGTGAGTTGCAGCCTTAAATCTTCGCGTTCGTTGATTATCAAACAGTTTCTTTGTTTTGTCAAAATGTTTGTAACCACACTAAAGCCTTTTTCGACTAGGTATGATGATGGAAGAGAGATAAGGTACTTTTCAGCAATGTTCCACAATACAGGATACTGTGTTTCAATGTGTTGCTGCAACCAGAACTTCTGATAGCCTTGGTTGAACTTCTGCTTAAGCTCCTCGTCTAGCATTATCACTAGGAATGGTAACATATATCGTTGTTGTGTAAATATCGATATATTTCACAAAGATGTTGATATATTTGAATCGATATTTTTCTACTGATATGTCGAAAATATCGATATAATATTTTCCATATATCGAAAACATTCATAAAGTGTGAGCTCGTGCGCATGATAAGTTGATTGACATTGGCAGATAAGACGTCAGGGCGTGCACGTGGATCTTTGTTTTATTTTTTATGTTTTGTTTGATGTATGAATTTGCATATTTTTAATCTTATTTTCGGTGTTTACAGTGGTTAATAAAAATATTTTTCTGCAGTAGCAACTTCTGTTTCAAGTGAAAGCTGGTTTGACAGCAATAAAAAGCCAAAACCGTTTATCTGGCAAGAGATTGTCAAATTTATTATTTATGAGTTCTCTTTTCAGAAAGCTTTTAAATAATGTAGCATAAACACTTAAATATTTAAGTTTGGGTAGGTTTCGTTAATCTCTATATTAAAAAAAAAATGTATTGTGTGTTTTATTACTTTTCTGAATAAACAAATTGCATTTTAACTGTTAAAAAATGTATTTTTTTACATTTCATTAAAAATATATCGATATATTCAAAATATCGATATTTTTTATTCGATATATCGATATTTTATTTCGATATATCATATGATTCGATATATCAATATATTTTTTTATTTTGCCATCCCTAATTATCACATTGGCTTCTTCCATGGCTGTGATATTGTACGGATTTATTATCTATTGAGGAATTTGTAAATTTAAGAGATCCTCAAACCTCTTAGTAAAATCATTGTGTAATACGTTCAAGTGAGTGCCATATGATAAAATAACATCATCTTGAAGCATTTCTGGTAATTTTGACAAATGCGTAAACTGTGAATATTCTTTTCTGCTCAAATTTTGTTTATAAAGGAGAAGTTTACCCACAAAGGCCGATATTATCCATTTTTTTTAATTAGGTTAAGATCGTCATCCTTCAGCTGCAAATTAACTTTGTTAAACATACCAAAGATATCAGTCAAGTAATAAATATCTGTTTTACAATTGTTTAGATTTTCTTTCAAATTCGGATCTGCTTCTTTTAAAAACTCCAACAAAGATTCATAAATAGCTGAATCAGAAGCTTCTTGATAGCAAGCGAACTTCATTGCGCAGAAGTAACCGAGGAAAAACACCCGATATATCAAAAAGCAGTTCTTGGCACATGTTTTCATCTATAATTTATAGAACATATCCTGACAACAGAGCTTCATTGCCGAGTAATGTAGACTCGTCCAATTAGAGAGAGAATATGTTGGTCTGTACATATTTTTTACTTTCACTCAAATAAAAAAAACTTGAAAAGTGTAATACCTACTACCAAAAGTTTACATGCCTATAATTTCGTATAAGATAAGCAAAAATGAATAAAGTAAATTATCCTCTTAAAGTAAAAGTAAAATTGAAAGTCTGCTATTTAAGGTTAGTTCAACCACTGCCTCCCATATGTCGCTGAAAGTAAACTTGTTTCCAAATTTCTGCAAAGAAACAGGAACTCCTAACTATCTTGTACATTAAAAGCAAATCTGAACTGGTTCGGATATAAGCCATTGTTTAATAAACTTTTCCTGTCCCAAGTCAATAGTAAAGATCAACTTTAGTTGAGTTTACCGTAATCCCCAGTTCTATGCACCAGGTTTCTACAATAAGTAGGACCCATTGGATTTTACTTGTCTTGACAATAATTAATACAAAATCTCATATAATTTTGTGTATATTTTATTACAAATTATAATAAAAACAACGACAGGAAAACTTTATTAGCCTCGTAAATTCAAACCAGGAATCGACAGAAAATCCTAAAACACAAAGACACTCGTAAGCTGATCGTTTTAATATATAAGAACAAGCGAAGAATGAGCAGACATCATCAGCATTTTATATGGTAATACGAACAGTAACTTCATCGTATAAATAAATTAACGGGCAAATAGTTAATATAAATAATCCATTTAATACGAGCTCTCAACATCCTTGATTTGTTGCAGCCAGACACGAAATCGGCTCCTTCTGTTTTATACTTTATGCGTGAGGAGTTATTAACTGGTAGTTTATGTGCCAGTGTGCGGCTTTCTCACACTGCGTGTGCTTCCTTTTGATAGCAATTATTGTCTTATAATGTACCTAATATATCTTTAAACTAATAGGATTGAATAGCCAAGCTACATGAGAAAAGTTAGTAGGAAATTCATTGGATTATTTTAGTGGTACATTTGAAATCACCACCACTACTGAATGTAGCAACATTTGTTTATTTTAGTAATGCTTATTGATATAATGCAATTCATCAATACTGATTGAATTAAAAACTAAATAAATCTTTTTTTTACTAGTAAATCAACTAGATAGAATGACAAAAATGAACAATGAGAGGTAATTTACCATAGACGCCGTGTCCCCGGGGACTCTGGGTGCGCAAGCACCCAGATCAGTTTTAAACTGGGTGCGGAGCACCCATACCACAACGTGGGCAAAAGGTGCAAATAAATGAAATTAAGAAGCTGTCGTGGCTAGGATTACCACATTCAAAAATACAAATTCCGGACAAAATTTTAAAAATCCGGACAAATTATTAAAACTTCAACTTATGAAATAATTACTATATGTTTTATTTAAAAAGGTACTGTAACATTCTATTATTATAATGTCACAATTTTTAAATAAACTCACCTTAATAAAGAATTTAAAAGGTCTATCCTTGATATATAAGCGCAGGTCTTATCCTGGTTCTCCAATTAGAACTATGCCATTTATTTCAATTATTCCACTCGTTTATATTCACAAATTTATTAATTAAATTTCATATAAAACAATCACAGAACACTTACTCTTAGAACGGTATCTCCCATGTTAAAAAAGGATGATAGAATTTTCAGCGCCACCATGCGGACGTGGTTGATTTTTTTTCAATTAAGTCCTTGTCTGGTAAGAGGCTATATGAAAGAAGAGAAAATAATAAAAAGAAGAAGAGAAAAAAGCGCGGGGCTATTCAAATTTTACAGTCAAAAATTATCCGCATTAAAAACTGTTAGCCAAATTAAGGGTCGGTCTTTTCACCTTCAGATAAAGTGCCAGGTAATTTTTATCTCCCAAGTAACTTAAAAAGTAATCTTTTCACTTCTGGATAAACCTAACTTCTGAATGATAACTTAACTTACTTATGAAATTCCTGATAAAATACTTCACTAATGGATAAACAGGTAGCTACATAACTACATAAGGTTAAAAATTACTGGATACTTATCATACATATTATTAACATGAAAAAACAGAAAATTAATTATCTGACAGATAGTAACTCTCAGATAATATATCCGTCAGTTAGTTATCTGGAACTTTATCTGAAGGTGAAAAGACCGACCCTAAGATTTGTTCACAAAAACTGCATTTTTGCTTTATTATAGCGATATATGTGTATTAATAAATCATCAAAAATATTTTTCTGGTACTGATTAGTGCCGAAAGCTTTACCCACACATACACGAGTTTCATTTCTCACTAGCATCTAAAAACCCAAGAACTACAAAGAAAAAAATATAAATTAAGGTGTAAGAAAAAAAAACTTTAGAAAAGGAGACTTCCTTTTGTAAAGTACCAATATCTCTTCCTTTTCGTTCTCATCTTCACATTCGGCTTCTCTGGAAATTGGACTTATTGATGATGATCTTGACATTCCATCTTTTTAATCGGGTGTGACATCCATTGATTTAGTATTTTTATCATCAATAACACTGCTGGCTGTAGATGGTTAAGAACAATCAAACTGCGCATTTTGATTCAAACCTTTTTGTTCAGATTCAGTTTTTCTGGTTGTCTGAAATATTTTTTCAGTGCTCCCGTTTGTTTTTAGAGATTCCTTCTACTCTTCTCTTTTCTATAGAAGGGATCTGATTCTCTTTAAGCCTTTCTGTTTCTGACAGACATCTAGAAAAAGGGAAGAACAACGATAATAAGTATACCATGACTCACAGATGCAAATAAAATTAATAGGAATTTTTCATAAATTTGGAAATTTATCGAAAAGGGTTAGCTCTAGCGTTGTTAAAGTAGTATACCATTTTTTTGCTTAGAAAAAGTATAAGAATATGAGTTATTAATAAGAAATCCCCATTTCTATTAAAAGAAATAGAGCAAATTATATAAAATGAATAATAATTCGTAATTAAAAAAAAAATAAAATTAAGTTTCAATTTTTAAACATTCAGTACTTATTTCCGAACAGATTATTTTAAAAATTGGCTTAAAATATAAAGTTTAATTGGGCTTTGTTCCTTCTGCTAAATAGTGTTTCAATATTAAAATCTATTAACTGGCTCTGGTAAGAGATACGTAAGAGATGGTCTCCATATTTTTTCATGTGTGGAGTTCTGACAAAACGCTTCTGCACTTTTTTTAAGGTATCATTATAAAGGATTGTTTTGGGTGACCAAATTATACAGGCATATTCTATTTTAGATCGTACGAATGCATTATACAGTGCTTCTCAAAAGTCCCCTCCCCCCTCTTTTCTTTTGAACGGTGATACCTAGACTGATGAAATTTGGAGGGTGGAAATGAACTATTATAAGCTTCTCTACTAGTGGTAACAGGTGACGTAATATGTGACGTCACTATCGGTGACATCACCAGGCAACTGAAACCAATAATTAAAAAAAACATCGTAAATCCAAAAAAAAATAGTATGACTGAATAGGTATTCTAAATACCTTTCAAACGAGATGTCACTTGCCATACAGTCCCATTTAATATTATTGGTTTCAGTTGCCTAGTGAAGTCACCGATGCCTAATACGTCACCTATTACCACTAGTAGACAAGCTTACAATAGTTCATTTTTACCCTCCAAATTTCATCAGTCTAAGTACCACCATTTAAAAGAAAAGAGGGGAGAGGGGACTTTTGAGAAGCACTGTATAGAACTTTGCATGTTTCGGTAGAGAAATCATGGCAAGC